AAACACTACCTGGACAGAACCCAGGCGGAGGGGAAGATGAAGAGATGAGTGGTGGAATTGCGAATGGGAATGCACATGGGAACGGGAAGGGGATGACTTAAGTCGCTGGTCTGCGCACACTCGTCTCTCTTTCTTCATGGGAAGATTTGAGATTGGTTTGCAATTTCCTTTGTTATGTTGAGTTTTACAAGTGCTAGTTTATGACCATGGATCAATGTATTGATTTCATCTACTTCACAATTGTGCCATGCCGAGCGAGTCGTGATTTGAAGAGAACAGTTTAGTGAAAACTTCATCGGGTGGCACAACGGCGTGCAGCTGCACTCCAAGGACTTATATATAGCAACTTCCCGAAGGAAAGTCTTCATCACACGCCCACCACACATCCAGCCCTCACGTCTCCGGCCTAACCCTCCCCCTCCTCTCCCTCATACCCTCGACCCTCCGCCTATCCTCCTCAAACTTCCTCTTCAGCAACCCCTCAGCCTCCTTCCTCCTCTCCCTATTCTGGAACCTATAAAAGTCATTCGTAGCCCTGTGATTCCTCTTCCGCTCATCCAACTCAGCCTTCTTCTTCTCCGCCTCTTCCAACCTAGCAGGCCCAACGCGACCGCCTCTTGTAACCGTCATGAAGCCTTCCTCGTCAGGAACAGAGCGCGATGTCTTGCGAATGCGGTTCCGCGCTGTTTCGAGGGCGTTGAATTGGGTGAGGTAGGCGTTTAGCGAGGCTTGGAGGAGGGTGGGTGTGGGGTAGATGAGGGAGTTGTGGGATTTGTAGCCTGTTGTTCTTGGGTTAGATGTGAAATGAGTGTGAGGGGATTGTGAAGACTTACGCTCAACGCCTAGTCCTTCTCCTCCCTTCAACGATATGCTTCTGCCCTCTTTTACGGCCTTTTGGATCTCCTTCAGAGCTCCCCTCGCACTCTTTTTGTCTACGAAGACAACGACAGCGCCGCTCCCGCTCTTTCGCACTTCGCTGTTCCATAACCGTGGTAGCGCGCTCTCGGCGTCTTCCACCACACCCTCTGCTATTACTGCCGCGTCGTCGGTCCTCTTCCTCTTCTTGCCTCTCGAGGTAGCTGAGTCATCTTGCGTCGTAGGCTTATCGCTCTTCCAGCGCTTGTGCATGGGTTGCGCGGGAACAGAGGCATCGAACTCGACGCGCTCGACCATGGAGCCGCCTAATTGTTCTTGGAAGAGCGCGCGGATGTTGCGCTCGGATGCGTCGACGGGTACGTTTGCGATAAAGAGGCTGCGCTCGTCGTCGGCGGTGGGTATGCTGGGTGCGTGCGGTTTGACGTAGATGTAATGCTTTGCATCATTGCAATTCGCTGGTAGACCAGACAGCGTGGTTAATGTGAGGGGAAGAACGGTGAAGTCGGCGACTGTTTTCGGCGTTGCTTTAGACTTCTTCGTCTTTGGCGGCGCTTCGGGTGCCATTGCGGGTGTCGGTTGCGACAGGCGGCGCTGTGTGGTTGGAAGGAGTGACGGTCGGCCTTCGAGAGGACTTGGTGTAAGACTTTTTACAGATCGCTTCGGGCGCAATATGTAAGAAGCGCGCCGACGCAGTACTTGAGGGTGCAAATGCTGGTGTGGAGGTTTGTGTGTCCGCGCAAGTCGAGCTCGTGGTGGAATTCCGTTCACGAAATTTTGGCAGGGGTGTCACGGCCGCGTTAGCGCAGCCGGCCGCCCACGCTCTCACTGCCTTCCAGATGAGCCATGAATTTGTTATGTATCACCCTTGAACAATGCCAGACATGTGCTGATTCGAATTAGACATAATATTCGTATATGGTGACTATCGGTATGCAAGCAAACGAATTGCAGTTTTGAAATGGCACTAAATACATGCAGATGCTATGGCGAGCCATGCGTGAGCAGGGCAAGTAAAGCAACAAAGTGGATATCAATGGGAATCATAATTCGTAACGACGGTGAAAGGCTGTCTCCTATCAGGATGTGGTGATCGACCGGGCATGGTTGCGTTTTGGCCAAGCCGAATAAGCAAGTGGCAAGACGCAGTAATCATGCGCTTGGGGTCGCAACGCCATATTGTAAGCGTAATCTGTGAGGGTGTAGTCCAGGATGAGATGGTCATCCCAGCTCTATATATGCAGCGAAAGAGCGGTGTAGAGAGAGGCGGAAGTCGATTGGATGTTAGACTTCGGTCGCTCAGTTGAAACCTCCTGGAATGCTCTTCATCGGGGACTCTGGAAGCGAGTGGAAGGCGTCGTCCTTGTCCTCCTTCTTCTCGTCATCAGGTGATGGCTCGTGAGAATACTTGGGCTTGAGCCTGTTGCCAATCTGCTCGAGTCTGTTGTCTTCTACGGAGGACAGAGAAGAAGTTGAATCACCGCGCATAAGCGAGGGGGTTGATTCCGGGCTATGCTTCGGCACGGTTGGAGAGTTCAGGGAGCCGTCTGAGTTCGTTGAGACGCGGTTGCGGAATGGATTTCTGACCGGTAGAGCAGGAGGCATTGGCTTGGCAACTTGGACGACGCGTGCGCGAATGGCTTGCGGGGCAGCGGCCTGGTGGACCTCGTGGACGATTGGCTCTTCTTCAAACTCATCTTCCTCCTCCTCTTCGTCTGATTCCGAATCGGAACTTGACTCGGAATCATGGGCCTCTTCAGTGGCTGTGGAGTTCCGAGGAGAGCCGTCGGACTTTGGGCCGGCAGCTTTGTCTGTCTTTGTTCCTGCAGCGGTAGGTGTTGCTTCTTCGGCCTGTCTGTCTACACTCCTTGCTCGTGGCGGAGTAGCTTGCTCGACCCTGGTCTCGGGTACTTCCATTATGGGAGGAGTAGGTGTGCGTGCGACGCTTGTTCTTGGCGGCAGCGTGGGGGGTGACTTCTTGATGGTCGGAGGTGGTGGCGGTAGATCGTCGGTCTGGGTGCTCATGTCAACTGTTGGCGTCCGGGGTTCCAATACGCCGCTGATGGTGCTTGTGCGCCAACTCGTTGGCCGACTGCCAGCATAGCTCGAGCGATCCATGCTTCTCCGGAATGTAGAGTTTCTGAAAGTGTTGTAGATGGGGCTTGTGGGGCTCGGCTTGAACTCGAATTGTTCACTTGCCGGACGGCTGTGTGTGCCAGCTTCCCTGATCTCTAGACCAGCTTCTTGTAATGCCAGTACGCCATACGGGTCGGGGTCAACAGCGTCTGGAATACCAAATGTCTTGTCTTCCGGACCTGTAATCTCGAAGTCGGCAGGTGGCGCCTCGTCTGGTATCAAAGTCTCGTCCACGTCCGTATCGCCTTGAGCCGATTTGAGAGTTTCCATGAGTCTCCTTATCTCGTAAGGCGGGTGCCTCACTTTGCCTGCCAAAATGTCTTTGACTCCTATACGTTCGCCGTAAAACCGTTCGTTCTCGTCTGTTCGCTCGATGATGATAGTTCCGTCTAATTGGAGGCCAGCATAGAATCCTCGCGATTTGATATACGTGAAAAGTGGTGACTGTCGCTTGTGGATCTCCGAATCCAGTATGCCGCCAACGCCGGCTGGGCCTGCGACTGCACTGATTTCACCTCCCAATGTGCAGCGGATGGACTGGAAAGCCTCCATGGCCTTGTCGGAGTTGATGACAATCACGCAGTCGTAAATGTCTACCCCTACGAGAAAGCCTACACCCACGGTGTGCATCATGATGCCTGACGGGGGTGACCATGTTCCATCGGCCTTGCGTGCGACCAATATGCCGGCTCCGCCAGATCCGGAGACCCAAAGGCCGGACCGCATGGTGGTGAATATGCATAGGCCTTTGGCATTCTGGATGACCTTGGAGGGTATCTTCTTGAGGACTCGTTGTTTTCCCTTGGGGACGTCGGTGGTGATGGGTCGGTCTTCTTCCTGGTAGAAACCATCCTCTGCGGGCGTGTCAGTACTTGGCGGGACGCATCGGAAGTTGACGTACTGCAGAAGCTTTTGAGGATCCTCGCAGCCTTGTCCGACTCGATGTCTAGCGTCGTAGGCCAGAAGGCTTCAGAGCCGACCTTGTTGGACAGTCGATTGACGGGGGCACCGAGCTTGTCAACCCACGTGTAGACCTTGTCGAAACCTTGCTTTGACTGCGTCTTCGCGGTGGACCAGAGCGCCATGATGGCGGGCTATCGACGGGCAGCACTACGTCAGAGGTGGGCCGAGGGGTATGAGTGCGCAGCAAGCAGCATTACACATTAGAGATGAGAAGCATTCAAGTAGGACAACGCGCACGAGAAAAGGCAAAGAGTAGGGTCAGGCGACGGAAGCAGCGGGTGTGGTCGACCAGCGGGCTCCAACCGTTTTTGAGTCGCACGGTACGTCAGCTGTAGGCTAATGCTGGCGGAGGCTGGCGACGGCGCAGTCTAGCATCGGGTACCTTAATAAGGAACCCTAGGCATTACCAAGTGATTTGACCCCTGCGCTCCACGACTCGACAAAAGACTTAGTGACGGTGATGGGATATTGATTTACCAGAAACAGCCCGTAGCGGGGTTGAACACGGGTGGCAGCCACACCATCTCGGGGTATGCACGCCGCCTGATTCGTTGCGAAGGCACGCTTTCAAGGCGCCGCCACCAGGAACGAGCAGAAAAAACCAAAAGTCAAGCAAGCGGGATGAACTAGGCATGCGTCGCGAATCATGCGCACGTGTCGTCGAGTCTAGATAGCCGGGCGGGTCTGCAATCTAAAAGCAAGCTGCGAGCAAGACATCCATGGACGCAGGTGCCGCTCTTGCACGGCGCGCGCACTTTGTGAAGCCGGGGGAAGGTTTCGCCGGGCGCCGGCCCGCGGACGCGCCAAGCCGAGCGCGTCGCTGGAGCTTGTCCAGAGTTTATGTTTTGCGACCGCGACAGTAGCTAGACCGAGAACAATCAAATCCCTTCACCACGCAAAATAATTCATTACGGCGCATGTGCGGCGCAACGTGTGAACTGGGAAATTAAGTGGAGAAAATACCTTGGTTTTGGATCCCTGTTCGCCTGTTCCACCGCGTACCCAGGTAAACTTGCGACTGGAGAGCAATGTTTCGTGGACCACCGTCAACACCCGGCCGCAGCTACTACGACGACAGCCTACACGCCCCCTCGACCACACCCGCTGGCCCTCCGCCCCTAGACGAATCGCACTATCCCTCCTCAACACCAGCTGGCCCGCCGCCAGGCATGAACCAAGGACTCTTCGGCAATGCACGCCCAACCTTCAACCCAAACAGCTATGACTACGCCAGCAACTCGCTATTCGGTAGCTCGCCGCCCAAGGGAAGCATGTTTGAAGGCAATGGGCTCGGCTCAATAGGCACTTCGACTTCCGGACGGCCCCCAACACAACGTGGACGCATCGCAACTTCTGGCCAGTTCCAAGCGCCCACACACACCCTACACCAGGACGCGGAAGGCGAGTCGGAAGAGGAGTACACGGATGAAGACCAGGAAGAAGATGACGACATGGACGAAGATGAGGGCACCGAGGAGGACGAGCCGCTCTCACCGCAGCGCCGCAACAAAACACAGAACAGGTTCTCCCAGTCAATTGTCTCAAGAACAAGCGCAACCGACATGGAGCCAAGCCCAGCCTTGGTGCGGTCAGGCGCAAAACAGACGCGATTCGATCTCCTTGCGCTCGCTAAGGGCCTTACTTCCAACAGCGACCGACAGGCTCTGCGCGAGTCCGACCAAATCATATTGGAGACGGAGCGTCTGGTCGAGAAAGTCCACGAGTCTCTTCAATCAGACTCGCCAGACAAGCGGACTGAGGTGCTTGGCACAGTCGCTCAGGAGTTGATCGCAACTTGGCCAGATGCACACAGGTCGACTTCACAGGAGCTGTCGCAAGCACGCCAGCTTGCCGCTCTTCTGCTGACCCTTCACAACCCCCCACAGATTGGCCTAAACCAGCGAGCCTCCGCCCTCTCCCTCGTCGCGCGAACCGATTCGAAACAATACACACCCATCCCGCGAGTGCTGCTCGACTGGCTGAACAGCACATTCCCTCAGGTCGAGGCCGAAGTGGTGTTGAAGGAGACCCGCGGATATTCAAGACATTCCTCGTTCTGGGAAGCTGTCCATGTATCTACTGTCCGGGGCAACTTCTCGCAGACTATGAGACTACTTCAGGGCGCTCAGCTTGAGCACGCCGAGACAGCTCAACACGACGGATTGGGCACTTCAGGATACGTCGGGTCACACCTCTCATACGCAAACCACGCGCTTCGTCAAGCAATCGATCTCCTCCGGGAATGTCCAGCCATCGCATCGGAAGATTGGGACATCAAGGGTCACGATTGGAGCATCTTCAGGCAGCGCGTTCACCAGGCGAGTGCTAGCTTGGAGGAGTTTGCAGAGGGCGAAAGTGTGAGCCGACACTCTATCTCTCAGCCTTTCAAGGCGGCACATTTTGGCATATCGCAAACTCAGGCAAGCTTCCAGCTTAGTGTGGCCAGTCGCAAAGCTGAGAGCAAAGTGCCCTGGTCTGTGTATGAGGCCCTCAGCACGGTTTACAAGCTCTTGCTGGGCGATGAAGAAGCAATCCTCGAATTGTCAGCCGACTGGATCGAAGCAGTAGTGGGTCTGGGCGTCTGGTGGAATGGCGAAGAGGAAGATTCGGCACAGGGTAGTCTAGCGGCAAGCCGTCGCTCCATCATGCGGTCTCAACGAGTTCGCCCTGTCGACGTGACTCCGGTCAAAGCGTACTGCCAACGGCTATCTTCCGCGCTGGCGGCTGTCATCCAGAACAGCGACGAAGACTTCAGTGTCAATGCTGTCGACCCTTTCGAGGTGGGGATAGCATGTATACTTGATGACAACATCGAGGGCGATCTCCAAATCCTGCAGAGTTGGTCCCTCACCATGGCTTCTGCAGTCGCGGAGCTTGCCAGTGCAGGAGAGTGGTTCACAAGCGCAAAGGGCCTGATGGATCAGTTCGACCAGAGTGATCTGATGGTCCTGAGTTACACTGAACAGCAACAGCCGAAGGGTGTGAGAAAAGACGACATACTTATTGCCTACGCCAATTTGCTGCCAGCCAGGGGCGAACTCGAGGCTAGAGACGGTCAAACATCCAAAGAAGGATGGGAGATCGCGGTGCAGATTCTCGGTAGACTGGACGACGGCATCACAGCAAACGAGCGTATTGAGCGGATACTAAATGACTTGCAACTTGAGTCCTCAGCTCGTGTCGACAAGATCACCCAGCTTTGCCATAACTTGGGCCTCTCACAGCATGCCGTCATCATCGCTCAGGTATGTTATAGAGCAAGAACACTCCCGGATACAAGCTGACAGTTGCAGAAATACGCCGACCATCTCCGCACCAACACCGAGAGCTATGGCGATACACTGCTCTACTACGCCCGTGCCCACGACGCACAAAAGATTCAAGAGGTGCTACGAGTCTTGGTCGCCCACTGCCTTATCAAGTCGACCGCCTATCCGCCTCTAGATGAACTGGACGAATCACTCAACTCGCTCATTACTTCACCAAAGCAGACCCTGACAAAACTCGCAAGCCTAGACTCTGAGGCAGCTTCTCTACTTTCAAACCATCTGAGCGGTTACGCAACAATACGCAAATACTACGACCTACGAGATGAAGAGGTGTTGTTGAAGCCCGGAGAGAAGCCAGCACATCGACCCATGGCACGGAAACGAGCTGCAGCGAACGCGCTCATGGTTATCATCGCCAGCGCGGCATCCAGCATTCGTGGAGGACTGTACGATCCAGAGATAGAAACTGTGGTTCAAGTCGACGTTCTCCTACCGTTGCTAGGCGAGGCACTCATCTTTGTCAACCAGCCCAAGCGCACATTGACGCTCCGCCACTTGTACGATCTCCTCGCAGCCATCGAGGACCTTGATACCGCACCTAGCATGATCCGAACGCAATGTGAGGAGGTACTTGCGACTACCCTCCTCTCCGCACACGACCCCAACGCCTCTCAACAATTATCGAAATCGACATCGAATTTGACGACAGCGTCAAGCCAATATTCGCTTATAGGCTCGATTGATTTCGGCTCCGCAGATGGTCAGAGTGCAGAGGGCTCGACGGTCTTTGTCAAGGGTGGACACGTAGACGATAGTAAGCGCGGGTGGGATTGGCGGAAAGGCTTCCCGAAGGGTGCAAAGAGTGAGGATATTATTGCGGTGCTAAGATTGGGAGTTGCGAGGGAAATCGGCAGAGCTTTTGCTGAGGGTGAGGTCACCGCTTAGATGTCTCGTACGGAGAAATGATACCACTATGTAATAGTAGAAGGCGACTTGGTTTTGGCCACTATAGATGATATTTGGACATTGCATCCTCTCACACTGAAGAAGCAGCGGTCTGTTGACACTATGATTGAGCAGCCGTGAGCGTTATTGAAAAAGGTACATTTCATAACACGCAAGAGGTGGTACGGCCGTATGCTTGGATCACTCATCACCCCGCAAACGAAGATAGCGTTCACAAGCATCTTCCGTGTAAAGAGGCTGTAATGGCTGCGATGAGCTTACCCGAACCCAAGCTTCGACGTCGAACACCGCCAACGCGTACCTCGGTTCCGCGTCTCCCCGCATCATCAACGCGACGAGCACGTCCACCTCAAACAACATGGGGTAGGCGTAAATAGCACGCGCATCCAACCACCTGGGCAGCATTTCATTCCTCATCAGATCAACTGTCTGTCTCCACCCACCCATCTAAATCAAACCAAAACTCCAACCAAAAATGCCCCCCAAAAAAACTCCCCGCCACAAACCAGACATCCTCCTCCCCACCTCCTACAACAACCTAAAATTCACCCAAATCCGCACTCAGCACCACGAAAAAGAGCCTTCCGTCATCATCCTCACATTATACAGGCCCGGAAACCACAATGCCTTCACCGACACCATGCGCGCGGAGATCGAAACCGCATACGGCATGTTCGATGCCGACGAGCGGGTGAAATGCATCGTGGTAACAGGAGATGGGCGGATCTTTTGTGCGGGCGCGGATCTAGATGAGGGGTTTGGGGAGGGGGTTAATGGGGCGGATGCGGAGAGGGTGCAGGATCATCGGGATGGGTATGTTGGGTGTCTTTATTGATGTGTTTCGAGTCGCTATTCTGCGACCAAAGAGAACAAGACTGGGTTGGCCATATTGACAAAGAACAGTCTGCTAACAGAAAACCGTTTCAGAGGCGGACGCGTAGCCCTAGCCATCCATCATTGCCGCAAGCCTTCAATCGCCGCTCTGCAAGGTTCTGCAGTCGGGATTGGCATCACCATGACGCTGCCCATGAACATCCGCATAGCGTATGCGTCGGCGAAGATAGGCTTTGTTTTCTCGCGCCGTGGACTCATCATGGAAGCGTGTTCTTCCTTCTTCTTGCCCCGGTTGATCGGCCATAGTCGCGCTATGCAGGCCGTGACGACAGGTAGCACCTATCTTGCTAGCCACAAGGTCTGGGACGGACTATTCGCAGAGGTGTGCGACAAGGCGGAAGATGTGTTGCCGAGAGCGCTCGAGGTTGCAGAGGACGTGGTGAAGAATACAAGTAGTGTGAGTACGTATCTGATGAAGGAACTGATGTACAGGGATGCGGGGAGTCCCGAGGGTCAGCATTTGTTGGATAGCAGGGTCATCTACGAGTTGTTTGGATCGCCGTAAGTCCTTCTTGCTGTAACTGATATCCATAAACTGACTAGCCACAGGGATAACACCGAGGGCGTAAAGTCCTTCATGGAGAAGAGGCCGGCGAATTTCACGGGGACCATGGACAAGACAAATGTGACTGGGTACCCATGGTGGATGCCAATAGACACACTGGGAAGGCCAAAGGTGGCGCCAACAGGGAGGGCGAAGATCTAATCGCATGTTAGAAAATGAGTCGAAATGCAACATGTACTGCTCAAGTGTATTGGCATGACTTCATTGTCTATCGTCCAACTCATCCCTCGGTATCGCCTTTGTTCGACGTCCCTGCAAGTATCGCCTTCACGCGCGTGGCTAGCTAGCACCCCAAACTGCATCACGCGCACCGACGGCCGAATGGAGGTATCAGGGATTTTCATTCGTTCCTAATGTACTTCTTTTCGTGAAGCATGCATAACCGAGGGAAACCCATAACATCCCTTCCCATCCAGACCGCACTCCGTAATGAGAAACACGCTTAGAAGAAAGTGGATGGTCGGGTAGAGGAGAAGACCTTCTTTCCAACCTTCTTGTTGATGCGGTGGGGCAGCGGGAACTTGAGGTTCTTGGTGAGGAGCTGCTTGATGTATGGGCGGCGGAGGTCGTCGGCCTTCTCGACCTCAACAACCTTGAGAATCTAGATTGAGTGTGAGTGATTTGACGCAGGCGGCTGAGTCGATTTGATCATACCTGAACGGACCTGAAGCGCGATCGGTGACGGGCGGCCATATCCTGGTACAGGGCATCGACGGCGGCGACACGGGACATCTCACGGTACTCCTTGTACATGTTGTGGGTACCGGAGCGCGAGTCGTACTTGAGCCAGATACCGAAGTTCTTGACCTTCTGGGGCTTCTTCTCGTGGATCTGAACCGGGTCAATTTGTTGTTGCGCAGTCTTCTGCCGCCTCGACATACCTGGTTTACGGAGACGATCTCACCGTTGGCCTTCTTGATCTTGCGGAGCTTGCCAAGGAAGTACCAGAACCGCGACTTGGCGACAACCTCGTTGGTCGCAAAGATGCGCATGCGGTAGATCTTGGGCGAGGGGTTGGTCTCGCTGGGCAGATGGCGCCCGATGATCTGGTATTCCTGGAAGCGTGCTGATGCATCGTCAGTACTGCTTCAATGACAATATTTTCCCTAGTCCAGCAATTGCAGCGGTCGTGGTTGGGGAAGGCGGTCGGGTTAGGGCAGTCGAGTACGATCGTGTTCGAGTTTGTCGCATGCGGACGATCTCGCGGGCTTCGCAGCCATCGTCACATCTGTTCGGCGCCGTTGGCCTGTCCGCTGGGTATGCACACCACCAAAGCTCCTTCCCACTCGGCCCCAGCTTCGTGTCGTTTAATCGCGATGGTGAGAGACGGTCATGGTCGCGCTGGCCTCGTTCGAAAATTCCATCGGCTGCAATTGCTGGACGGGACGGTGTTGCGGACGAAGAAAAATTGCTTACCCATCTGCGACTGGTTAGCGGGCGGTATGGGCATGAGCTGGCGACGTAGACTGACCTTGAATGTGCTGTGAGGTTAGTACCTTGAGTTGAGAAGTTCAGTCAGGTCGTCTCCATCGTGGATTGACAAGCGAATTCGACACCACCTTGTGCGCGCTAGCCGAGTTGAGCAGGGGCCCACAACAACTTGGCGGCAGGCGCTACGGACGTCGGCGAACAAACAGCCCAAACACCCGACCACCTCGAGCACCACTAGAATACCCACCAGTTGGTTCTCAGCAAACAATCCGCACCATGTCAAAGGGCTGAGAGTACCAACTGAAGTCGCGCAAACCTTCAGATTCACGCGACAACCGACATCCCGTAACCCGACCGAATTCCTCATGGCCGCCATGCAAGCTGCACTCGTGCCTTTCCATCAGGCACTGGCCAGTGGCCTTGCGCAACCCGTCGCAGACTTCTTCAGTCCAGTCGCACCCGCGCATGACCCTGGCCGGCTATACGACTTCTACCGCGCCTCCAGTGACGAGAAGATCGAAGGCGATGTTGTTTATGCGCTCGAACAGCGAATGAACCCCAAGAAGGCCAAGGCTTCTCCCTGGGTTGATATCATTGCTACTTATTGGCGCGCTGTCAAAGAGATCATCAAGACCGACGAAGCAGCAAATCAGGGCAAGCTGAATGAGCGTCAATACCTGGCAGTGTACGATACGTGGAAGGACCTGACGAGCATCTTCATCAAGCACATATCTGGTGGACTGCTACCAGCATGGGCCATATTCACCCTGTACTTCACTGCAAATCATCTTAGGAAGATAGCAATCAAAGCAGACGAGCAATTGGCCAAGTCGAAACCAGCAGCTCTCAACACCGGCTACTCAGACGATATCGTGAGCACAGCACCTCAGAATCAGAAGCTTGAAGAAGCTGCGCGAGTATTCAACAGGATCTTTGCCCTTTGTCTTGGTGACAGGAACCCCGACATGTCACAATCGCGAAAGTGGGGTGTATATTGCATAGCCAACCTTCAGTTCAAGACGTATTTCAAAGTAAGCCCTATCGCAGTCTGCGTGGTGTAACGACAACTAACTCGCATGTACCCAGTTGAAAGCAATCAGCTTATCCAAGAACGTTGTACGATCAATCGAAGCACAGTCCGACCTACCTACATTCGAGCTGTACCCGCGGGCGCATCGAGTCACATACAAATACTATCTCGGGGTGCTGGCGTTCCTCCAGGAAGACTACGCCAAGGCAGAAAGCAGCTTGCAGCAGGCATGGGAATCTTGCTGGTCAAAGTCGCAACAAAACAAATCGTGAGTTAGGTCAATCTAACGGATAACTCCTCGGAACTAACAGTTCAGGCTCATACTCACATACCTCATTCCCTGCCGCCTGATCACTCAACACAAGGTTCCCACCGCCAGCCTACTCGCCGAAGCCCCTCGTCTAGAACGCATTTTCGGCCCCCTCGTATCCTGCATAAAACGAGGCGATCTTACGGGCTTCGACAAGGCACTGGCAGAAGGCGAGCCCGAGTTTGTCAGGCGGCGCATCTTCCTTACTCTGGAGCGGAGCCGCGACATCGCTTTGCGCAACCTTCTCCGAAAGGTCTACCTCGCTGGTGGCTTTGACGATCTCAAAGAAGGACAGACGGAGAAGGACCGGATACGGAAGTCGCGAGTACCGCTAGCAAACTTTGCCGCCGCGCTCAGGATGGGTATTGCAGGCGAAGGCAGCGGCCAAGCAGTGGAGGACGACGAGGTCGAGTGCCTATTGGCAAACCAGATTTACAAGGTGCGTACGCTATGCCCCAGCGTTGGGCTTCTATAGGTCTTACCCGGCTCTGAGGCAGCCTCGTCACGGATGTCACACCAAGAACCCACTCGGCTAACCCAGATTGCAGGGTCTGATGAAAGGCTACATCTCGCGCGAACACGGCATGGTAGTCATGAACAAGAAGGGCGCATTTCCGGGAACAGGGGTCTGATGCCTAAAAACGTCGGCCTGCTCCCGTCTACCATACAGATCAACTCCTTGCTCTATCACAATCACGAACCACGACACGTCACTGTCCAAGCTGGGAGCAGATGCGCGGTTGCATGTG